AGTTCAGTGGTTTAGGCCTGAAAGCGTAACAGACATACAGACAGACAGAGTTACTTTCGCATTTATAATATTATATAGTAGGGATTATAAACAGACACTACACTTTATTTATTTGTATATATTAAAGAAAATAGTTAATAATAAATCATTGTTCTATATCTATCTTATATATAACAGTAGGTTTTTCTTCTCATTGTTATCAAAACGCAAGTCTTTTCCCTGGCGCGATTCCAAGGTTCTAGCGAGATCGGTCAAGTGTTAATTGACCATCGAATTATGAAAGACGCGGACGAACACGATGAAAAAACTAGTTAAGAAATATAGTTAGCTATGTAAAAGATATTAAAATTATTAACTTTTATATAAAAAATGGATAATTTATGAAAATATTCATAGTTTATGAAATATAAGGTGGTTTGGAGACAAAATAATGTTTTTAAAATACTACTGTTAAAAGTACTACCCCAAGTGAACTCAGTACTCATTTTTGAAGGTTTTTTAGTACATAAATATTAATAAATTATGTATAAGTATATACATAATAATTGTAAGATAATATATAAATAAATAAAACAGTTATTTCACACAAGCGACGATGTATGTTCCGCTTTTTATAATTCCTAGAGCAGATCGCTAACAAGCCTGGATATGTGTTAGTGAGAAATGTACGCTTACCACAAGTGTACGTTACACACGTAGCGTTAACAGTATGACATTCATAAAACTTCGTACACTATCTTCTATATATATAAAAATGGATTGCTGTTCCTTAGTCTCGCTAAAACTCGAGAAAGCTGAACGGATTTATCTTATCTTAGTCTTGAAATGTTCGTAGAGGTTCAGGGAAGGCATAAAAGATGAAAAAAATTGATTCATTAATGGGAAACCCATAAAAACAGCCCTTTTCTATTTCCCATACAATCATTTTTTTTGACATTAGATTTGACAACTAACTAATATGTCAATCATTTTGTCGCACTTCAAAACACGGAGATTTATGGCTTACCATGTGAACTCCAAAAATATAAATAAAAAAACGTATTAGATATTAATTCTTGATTATAGAGCGATACGAAGTTCGCCGGGTCTTCTAGTAGTATTATAATATTGTATGAGAAACGGCAAACGATACGTATTTGGTGATGGTAAAAACTTGTGGTAAGCACAAATTCCCAATTACGAAAATATTAAACAATACAAATAAATCATTTCTAAGAAATTCGCGAATATAGGACTTGCATATGCACAACCGAGCTATTTTAATATATGCAGCCATAAGCATGCATAATATCACCTTCAGTCATTACTAAGAAATTACATCAGTTCTCAATTTAGTGACATCACACCTCGCACTTGACCCAAATAAAAATAACATTAAAAATATATAACTATATTCGATAGAAGGAAAAACAAATAGTAGGTTAATTGACATCATAATTGAACAAGAAATATTTTTAATATACAAGTAATGAAAATCAACATTTATTTGTGGACTGATCAATTGAAATGTATTGCAAAGTTACATATTATGTATATGTGTGTGTGTGTGTATGACTGCAAATAACTGTTAAATATAATATTATTATATCTTCTATATATAAAAATATGATATATATATTGAAAAGACATTTAAATAGGCAAGGCAATTACTAAATATATCAATATGTATGCAACTATGTTAAAACGATAAGTACCTTTAATGTAAGAAGACTTAGTGGTCAGAATTTTATTACAAATAAATTAAAGATAGTTAGTCCTTAGAAAGATTATATTGTTATTATAAAGCTGATATATATACAAGACAAACACACCTAGATGCATATTAAACATTACCGAGGAAGTGTTTGTCATTACAAATTATTTATCATGCTCACAATTATATGAAGGAAAACAGGTAATCTTGTTTTATTCTGCCAAAGGTTACAGATGTATTAATTTGTATAAAACGTTTGAAAGATTTTATATATGAAGTAGACTGAATGGTAAGAAAAATGTAATATTTAATTTGTCTCTGCTACTATTGTTAACATATAGTACAGAATTCTGATGTAAAAATAATACTTAAATTTCTAATGTTGTTTCTTTCAAATCAACCAATACTTTATCTCAGCCTTATTTTAATATAAATTAGTACAGTGATACTTGTTAAGGCAGTATCACAATGAATTATGCATCACGGAGTTCTTATTCATTAGTGTAATTTTTAAATCATTGTCATAAGCTGTTATTTCCTTTTAATATTTCCTCTGTGGTTACATTCATTCACAAACGTTATCTTTTCGTTGTATTCATGTAATAATTATGAATAAAATAATAATTTCTTAACGATTTGTATAGTCGAAAAACCTTGAGGCTGTTTACAATAAAACAGTTTCCTAAAAACCATCTTTACGGAATCTATTTAAAATATCTGATGTCACTCCTATATGTAGGCGCTTAGCCATGAAATGGTATACTGAATTTTTTAAACTATTGTATTAAATTTTGTCACAATATTAATGGTTTATCGATGAAAACTATAAACTCATTAAAATCTAATAAAATATTAGTTTTTCGTAATGTCAACAAAGCAATGACTCATATAAAAGGTACTTTTAATGAGCGTATTCATAAAATATAATGTTGCGACATTTACTGTTTAAATACTTAAAATAATAAAACTGGAGAAGGGTTCCATTTAAGTTGGATCAATAATTATATTAGTAAGATCCTGAAAACTCAAATCACAAGATGGCGGGAGTACAACCCCACTAAATTGTATTGAACGGGAGGAATAGGAAGCGCGGCACTAATGACGCGACCTAAATTCGTTCGGGTTATACGTCTGATACATATGTATGGATTCTTAAGTTTTACCAGAATCCTGTGATGTCTAGGACTTTAAATTTTTCTTATATGATAGCCAGTATGATTATTAACATTTACATACCAATTTCGATGTCCATTAGCGCTTGAAATATCACGAAACACTTATTTTTTTACACAAGCACTCACACGCCCTTACAGTATGTAACAACATCACGAGTACACTGCGCCATCTGGCGAGGAGTTAATTCATCTGCTGTTTCACCTGCAGCAACTTCACGCCTGTATTAATTTAATTTTTGCCTCCTAATTAACCGTGTTTCTGCTAATTATGTTTGAATTTCATCCAAACGAGAGAAAAACAGCCGTGAGTGAGGTCGTTATCGATCCGAATTAATGATTTAGAAGCTCTCTTGATTCTATTGACAGTTGAACACGATGCAGATACAGGGGTATTGATTTTCTCGTCGCAGCTGATTCATAACACATCGAGAGGCGAATTCCCGCAAAAATTATAGCACGTTCAGTTGAGTCATGGTTATTATTAACTTGTGATATTACACTTTATTGTAATGAACTAAATCCGATGTTGTCGGTTCAGTGAAACAATTTATACCGTCGCCGTATTTGGTTCGCGTCCTCAATCCTACTTATAAGGAACTTACACAGTAGGTACACTACATCGACGGCCAAGTATTTCACTAGCGTGGGTTCGATTCCGACTAGCAGGCGTGTCGCTATTACATCATTGACTTCCTATTGAGAAGTATTTGATAACTGTGAACTAATTGTTGATAGTTGATATAATACTATTATCATGTTTATACCCGACTAATAAGGACGAGTCTCCATTAAAGAAACAATGACAACATGCCGACTATTATTTGTTTCCTGTACTTGTTTATACATAAATGTAAAACATCACAAAATATGGTACATGTATATTATGTTTAATAGAAAGATTATTTTTAGTGATAGAAACGCAATTTTTTTTGTATAAGAGACTGAGTATTAAAATGAAACGTGTAACCAACCTAAAAGATATTAACACATCGTCTAAAATATAGAATGATTCGGTATTATGCAGTGACATCTTTTGACGAATGGAAATGAACTAAGCGTTACTTTTTATCATAAATAAAAAATATAAATTACAAATACGTAGGGTGTGAAGGTCTGAGGTAGTATATATTAGGTATTATCTAAGAGCGTGGTAGATTTTTTATATAGTATGTACTTCATTTATTTTCGTTTACCTTTGTACAATTTATGTTAACGGTTTTTCATACCGAGGTCCTAGTTTCATTTCGGTCCTCGACTCTTTCCTAGACTCTTGTCTCTAGATCCCAAGACGGTAGTTTTTCTATAAAAATATTCAACGAATTTTTTGTTTCTTAAAATAAAATGTTTGATACGGCTTGATTTCCAAAGTAACTTAAATAAATTAAACATTTATTCTTACTATTAGGTATCTTTAAACCTAACCTGAGCCGAACGTACTGAACGCTTGGCACAATTCTTTTGAAGGACAAGTAATTTATTATAGGTTCTTAATTATATTAACAGGTTCAAGTTACAGAAGAAACAAAGTGTATAGTTCAACGTTTTGACATGCAGAGTAATAAGGAGTTTGTTTTTAAATAGTAAATAATGCTGAGCATACACAACCAGGCCATGGACCTTATCGCAAAAATATCATTTGGATAAATATTTGGAGCCTTATAGTCTTTCAGTATTTCTGAGATGAAAGAATAAGAAACTTTTAATCGCCCGTAAATTAAAATTACATGAGAATTTACAGATAAATTAGATTTGGCAACAGACAGAACTATTATCGAGAGAGGTTTACGAATGTTTAATCAGATTAATGGATTTTGTGATAAAGATAACGAATACCTTAACATCCAATTACGCATTTTTAATATTTATAAAAATATTGTACCTACATATATACTGTATTTATACATATGTCTAAAAAATATATATTTTTAAATGACAACACATATCTAGCGTAATATAATTAATAAACGATAAATGTAGACTAAAGAGGTTTTATATATTGTCATGCCATCAAACTTCTCAGTTTGAAATATTAATATATATATTGTTAAATCTTCACGTCCGTCTGTCATCACGGTACAAACACGTTAGGATGTCATTGTCATGTAACCAAACAAAATAAACAAATTATTACAATGAAAGCGGCGTGCATCATACTGACGATAATCATCTTCGTCGCCATCATGGCTGTCTGCGTGATGGTGAAGTTTGCCACGGATATTACGGTGGAGGAAAGGAAGAGGGACTTTTTGCCGGGAGCGGGAGTGTACCAGGTAGCTAAATCCATAGCTGTGATAGCGTTGAACGAGAACAAGAGCCTGCCTATAGCTGAAAGATATCCCTACGTGGCTGCCATAGCAAGGAACTCATCTTCTTCATGGGCTTTTTCTTGCTTCGCGAGTGTAGTGCTTGTGAAATGGGTGGTGACGTCTGCGCACTGCAGGCGGAGGGACGCCGCTCACAGAGTGCTGCTGCTGTACGACTTCACAAGAAACTTCAGCCGTTCCTTCCCCATCCTGTACTGGCGTATTAACGAGAAATTCAATATAAATAGTACAATACCGCTGTACGATATAGCGGTCGCCAAATTCAATATAGACGACTACCCGTACGCGATCAAACCTTCGACATTCGATGACCGAGCGGTGACGGAGTGCGAGGCTAGTATTTGGAAGACGGTGTCAGCTATGGACAAGAGAGTCTTCCTTATTAATGACTTCGACAGCTTCGAAATGAGGATCGCTTCTCCGAACAGGTGCTATGAGAGTTACGGGATTCAGGTTGACGAGAGCATGATATGCATTGACATGTCGGATTACGACGACTGCTTCATCCACGAGTTCGGACCCCTCTTCAACGGAGACAAGCTGGTCGGAGTGCTGGCCGTGAAGCCGAGGGACTGTGAAGTGAAGTACGCCATATTCACCAACGTATCCTACTTCGCGACCTGGATATTGAAGCTGACCCACACCGCCTTCCACGGCTGATGGTGACGTCATATTATATAATGTTTTAGTTTGTTTACTATTATACATTACGATACAGGTTTATATTTTATTTTAAGCGAGTAAGCACACTCGGAGTAAGTGATAAAGCACATCTCACACAATGCGGCTGAATTAAATGAAGTTAGTATAGAAAAAAAATACACAAATTCATAGCTTTGGTTCTAGAGTGTACACTGTACATGCATAATGCTTTTAATACATCTTTATGTTCAAAAATATTTTTATACATACTTTCTAAATTCCTTCACAATCATTATAAAAAGACTTAATAGTGGAAAGAAATATTAAAATTAACATACACATTCAAAATGATATTCACATTTCATCTTCATGATCACGGTTTCTGTACGTAACTGAAAAGTAAAGAGTATGTAGTTGAAATAATAAAATACACGCAGTAATCCAAAATATTAGTTTCATTTAAATTAATACTCGCGAAAGTCTTAAATCATCCTAGATGTCATAGATATTGTTAAAAAAACAACTGATTCGTCTTTTAGTTTTAAAATAACGATTTTAATATTTCAGTTGCTGTTTTTAATTAAAATATACATATACATATGAGACTTTTGATCAATTATGTATGTATAATATAAGTACACAACATTTTTAATGTAAAATTCATTTTTTCATTCATTCCATTCGAATGAGATTCTTCTTAGCGTCCTCCCGGAATGTCATGTTGTCATCAATCCATCACCAATTAGACTGTAGGACTCTATAATTTTGTTTGACAAAACAACTTGAATTTCTAATTAACTCTGATGAACCATCAAATTAATATTATTATAATTAAAGCAATATTTATTTAAATGAAACTAATATTTTTCAGATATATTAAACAACTTTATTTTTGTAAAAATTACATACTCACGACTTCTTTTTTTTTTTTGCAAAAATAAAGTCGCGCAGTATATCATAAAAATATTAGTTCTATTTAAATGAATAAAACCTACGAAAATCTTAGATTTCAATCTTTTTTTCAGCAAAAGCTTTACACTATAAAACTTGGTATCAATTAATAAAGCCAAAGTGAAGAGTCAAGTAGTTTTTGTAACAGATTCACGCTACATTACACAGGGACGGAGAGCGGCCGGCGGGATTGATTCACAAAAATACAAATATTGATATTAAACTGATCCGATAAGTGACTACACAAGGATTATTGTACGCCATGTACACACACGACGACAGATGAAAACTAGATGTGACATGTGACTTATATATAGATTATAAAATAATAGTTAATTAAAAAAAAATCATCATCATAAGTCTATTGGAACCCACTGCTATGCTGCCTCTTCTCACATGGAGAAGGTTAGAGCATTAATCACCACGGTTGGTGACGGGTTGGTGATTTCAAACTTATAATTGTGAAATTATAAGTGCAGGTTTCATCACGATGTTTTCCTTCATCTATCAGTGATGTCTAAATAATCTTATAAAGTACATATAACACGGAACCACATTGGTACTTTCCAGGTTTCGAACCCGCGCCCTCATACTACAACGACTAAAAACATTTCTGAATATATTCTCTGTTCTTGTTTGTGATATAAATTTTAGGAATCAACTACACGTGTGTTGATATTTTTAAAGCAATTAATTAATTGGGAGAATTGTCGCTTAAAATAGAGTACAGTAATTAGACTTCCAATTTAAAATACCTATAAAAAGTCATGTATATACAAAAATAGTTTGATATATTTTATCTTATAAGTCACTTCAATAAACTATATGTCTGTGTTCCACCCTATCTGCGAAATATTGTACATTTGTAAAGATTTGTCCGGCGCCATGACAGTTGACAGTTGACAGCTCACAACTAGCAGAAACTTTTATTCTGGTTAGTGAATAAGATTTATTATATTGTTTCATTTATACAGACAAACAGATATACATGAAGCACTTGTGAGGTATTTGAAAGAACAAAATCTCGCTTTAAACTTACTTTCATAAAGATTAGGTATAAATATATAACAAACTAGCTTGTTACCCGTCTACAAAACGAAAAACAATGAAAAAATCTTTTAAGCAAAGTATTCGCTCCACCTCCCACTCGCGCCTGATAAGCAATTTTGGTATCGGGAATATAGATCGGGCTAAAAAGTAGCCGAAGTTAATCCTTACTACATCGGCTACCTGACGATAAAAGTCACATCAAAACTGGTCCAGGCTTTTCAGACTTAGGGGGCTGTCCATTAATCACGTGAGGCTTGAAAGGGGGGGTAGGGGTTTGATAAAAATCACGAAAATAACACAAGGGGGAGGGGGGGTGTAGTAAGATATCTCGTGTATTTATTTTTTCGTCTAACGCGCGATTTTTAAACAAATATTAATTTATTATGGTCCTTAATTTCAGAATAAAATAAGATTATAGTTTATACCTGTATTTAAATTAAGATAATATTCAGAAAATTTTAAGATTCGTTGTAGGTACTAAAAATACACGTGATGTTGAGAAGGGGGAGGGGGGGTGGTCTTAAACCTCACTACGTATCACCAATGGGGGCGGGGGGGTTAAAAAATGCTAAAAAAAGATCACGTGATTAATGGACAACCCCTAGCCAGAACAAACAGACAGACAGACAGACCAAAATAATCAAAATCTCATTATGATGTAAGTATGTACCCTAGTACCGTATTCATATGCATGTAGTGAAAAATAGTTATTTAAATATTAGGTATATACAGACAATCTAATTTATATACATATGACGTCACTTCGCGTCAGAATAAATTTTCAATGCGTTTATGAACGGCTATACGGACACAAATATTCATATAGCCATCGATCCGCGAGTAATTTAATGAATTTTTCAAATAAAATGTTTTAGTGCCATCCACTCCACTAAAACTTAACCAATAAATAATAATAACGGTCATAACTGTACGCGGGGACGAGATTTGTTGCAATTCATTTGGCGGAGCCGCCATCATCATTTTTATAGCTGGGGTGCACTAATGTACTCTTTGTATTAAGACATTCTATTTACTAAATACAGTTAGATCCATCACGAGAACATATATTATAGTTTGATAAAATAATAATAAAAAAATATTTTTCGCTTTGAAACGTCAAAAAATATTAACAATCAAATTTATTTCTCTATTCGTCCTATTAGACTAAGATCTTAGACTATACAGCCTATTCATTAGTATAGCAATCAATTATGTCACTTATTCATTTGTGACTATATTTTTAAGGCAGCTTCTTATAAAAATATTTTATATATAAAAAGAAAATTCTCATCTCATTTCAATTACAAAGGATTCACAGATTATAAATGTAAATAATATTGGCTGAACATTTTAAATCAACGGTTTTATAAATTTTTTATAGCCTGGTAGTAAAAGAGGTCTAGACGCGGTGACTCATGTTTGAATCCAACGAATTAAAATACTATTCCAACATAATATAATAAAAAAACGATAATAATGTGTGTTTAAAATATTATTGAAATTAAGATTAGGTATATAAGAACTTTTTACATGTAGTTATTTTATTTAAATGATAGATTTTGTAGTACATTTCACAGATTGCACATTTGTATATTATCCAATTTATATTCCAAATAGTTACAAACAACATAGTTTATGTCTTCATATAAACGAGAGCAGTCCTTCACCCCCAGCACTTTACTAGATTGGCTCTCCCTTGTCATACTTTACAGACACTTGTCGATAATACCAAAATATTAACTAATAAACTATATACATATATAAAAGAATAATTTTAGAAAGTATCTTCATATAAAGACAACATTTTTTGTGTATTAAAGACAAATCGACATAGGTAGTGAACGCAATATATAAGGTAAGTGACCCAAATAAGGCCTACCTTAACTTTGCTATTATCTAACTAGCGGATTTATAATGACAATGTACTGGTAATTTGATATTACTATATTTATTTATTAAACTTTGTAATAAGTTAAACGAAATTACTTTAGGAACTAAAATAACACTTTTGTGAACTAATATACATACTTATAAGAAAGTCGTGTTAGTTACACTATTTATAACTCAAGAACGGCTGTACGGATATGGTTGAACATTGGTGGAGAGATAGATTAGAACATGGAGACGGACATAGGATATTTGATTGTGTTCGAACGAAAAAAAAATAACTTAATAAATTCCAATATCTGGTTATTTATGGCCATCAAGTCTGAGTAGAGTTCGCCCGGTCAGATGTACATATTTACTAATTCTGAAATTAACGCGGACAAAGTCGCGGGCGCAATCTAGTATATAAAATTGTACATATTATATTACCATAATTATACTTAAAATATAAGTTATATTATAAATAAAAGAAATTGTGTTCAAACAGTATTACACTTCATTTCGTATTTTATATCATTTTTAATATTGCGATAAATTCGTTAATTGTTGAATTCAATAAAAGATATAAATATAGAAGATATTTTTTAAATACATTTGTGATTACAATATAACAAAATGTTTCATTATTTTCATGTGACTTTAAAAGTTTATAATCTATAAGAGATGTACTCTTACTGATTTTTAAGTGTCCGATTTTTTAAATTTAATTTTCGCTTTTTCAGTTTCATTTGTCAATATCATTATAAATGTTAGTAATTTAGGTTGAAATCAAACAAAACTAAGGCAACAAAATTGTATATTAAACAATTTAATTCTAATAACACTATTATTTATATTATACACAAACGTACCTACATCTAGTGTCCAGACTCTAGATTTTACGGTAATAACCAATAATTAAAAAAAAATATTCAATTCTAAAATGTTCTTGTCATTTAGGTTTAGGTTTAAAGAAGTGTATTTCCAAAAAGAACAAAGTTCGCTTACAAAGGAAATTTTAAAAACTATAACTACAATTAAAATTACAAATAATAAACAGTAAAAAAAAAATAAACAAGATCAGTGAAATCATCTAAGATATGGGTTCTTAATCGTTTTTTAAATTTATGTAGAGATTTTGAATTGACGAC